AGAACGTCAATTTGTCACTCCCAAAGAACGGAAACATGTTTTTGTTCCACGGGAACATTGGGAACAATAGAAACTCTCTCGTTGGACATTGTCGAACAAGGCCTTAGTTGTTGAATGATCAAGTAGTCTTTTCACCGGAAAGAATACTAAGTGCTCAAACAAATCCAGTAAGTTTTGCTCTTCTTGCCACCCTCTTTTGAGACTTTAGATTAGCGTTGCACAAACAGTGCCCCACATGCACATCTCAGCAAGCATTGGGAACATCTTCTATGCGTGTCATAGGGAGATGTTCACAATACAAGGTTGGCTGGGATGGCTTGTAGTTGGGATGGCCTATGGGGAATGCTCTATGGGGCATTGATGCAAATTCCTATGGAAAAATTCCATTTTAGTACCCTAAAATTTGGGGGTAGTGTCAAGTTAGTACCTGAACTTTTAAATATGTCACTACAGTGCCTAAACTTTCAAAATGTGTCAAGTTGGTCCCTGTCATTAACCGACCGTTAATTATATATTAAAAATGTCAAAACTACTATTCGAAAGAAGACACTATTCATTATCTTCTACCCAGGGACTGAAAAGTGTCAAAACTACCCTTCAAACACCTCAACTGGTTCAATCTCAAGGTGGAAGACAATGAACAATGTCCTTTTGAAGGGTACTTTTGACATTCTCAATAGATAACTAACGGTCGGTTAACAGTAGGGATCAACTTGACACTTTTTTAAAGTTTAGGTACTGTAATGACACATTTGAAAGTTCGGGTACTAACCTTACACTACCCAAAAGTTTAGGATACCAAAGTGAAATTTTTCGTAAAAAATAAATAAATCTATCTATCTAACTATCTATCTATCTATATTAAAAATGGTCCTGCCATGTCAGCATAGCTCTCCTTACAGGAAACCCCCCTTCCTAATTTTCTATTTTTTTTAATTTTTTATTTATTTTTAATTCCACATAATTACCCATTAAACCAATAAAGAAATCACATATACCTAACTATTTCTAACAACCATAAAGCTTTCCTTGATGTTTAACCATGTGGCACCACTTTCCCCTACTTCCTCCTAAATTGTCTCTAATTCCTATTTATCTCCTAAATTATCTCTAACTCCTATTTATCTCTTAAACTATATCTAATTTAATAGAGATTCTCTCATAAACTATCTCTAATTCCTATTTATCCTCTCCCCCACTTTTATCTACATCTATCTAAAGAAATATTCAATTAAAAAAAATCAGAACTATTTAAATGTTATAACGAAATTATATACTAAATTTAAAATATTTATTCAAAACACAAAAAAATAATAGATTTAATAATATTCATATTATTAATAATTCAATATTTTTACAAAATTCATCATGAAATTATGTAGTAACAACAAAAATTATAATTTTATGAACAATTCAATTTAAATGTTATTCAAATAATAAGAATTTAACATTAAAAAATAAAACATAATTTAAATATTTCAATAACTAAAAATCTTAAATAAAAACGTTAAAAATAGCTAAATAATATAAAAAATATTTAATATTAGGTAATAACATTAAAATAAATAAAATTCAAATAATGAAAATTTTTAAATATTTTACATATTATTTAAATATTTAAATAACAAAAATATTTAACATGACAAAATTTTAAATAGTTAAAATAACGAAATGATGTAATAAATTTTAAAAAAAATCTTAAAAGTAAAAAATAATAATTATAATAGAATTCATAATATTCATATTAATAATAATTTAATATTTTACAAAATTAATAACGAATTATGTAATAATAGTACAATTATAATTTTATGGATTACTAAATTCAATAAATAATTAATATTTTAAGAACTTAAATAACAATATTATTTAAATAAGTAAATAATATTGTAAATAACTAATTTCAGTTATATCAATTAATAGTTATAGAAAATAACTATCAACAAAATTATATTTATTAGTAATAATTTTACAATAATAGTGTATATTCATTATATATTTATATTTACTATAGTTAATATTTATTTTTCAGTAATTATTTATTGTTTTTAATAAATATGCTTTCAATAATTATTTTTAAATGTATTTTTATTTTGTTATTTAATAGAAAATTATCAATAACTATTAGAGATTAAAAAACTATTATTTAACTTTTGAAATTTAACTTATCATATTTATTGTATTTTTGTTAGAAATTTATTTTTATTAATTATATATTTTTTATAATTTATAGATTAATACTTATTAGAGATTAAACTACTATTTAAGATTACAATATTTATTGACTAATTTAGTGTTTTTTTAGTATTTATTATATTTTTGTAATTATTGTATTTTTTTATATATCTATTATATTTTTATTATAAACTTATTTTCAAAGATTGTGTACGTTTGCTATAAATTTTCAATAATTATTGGAGATTAAACTATTGTAATTTATTAGAGATTAGACTGTAAATTTAGTTGAAATTAGGTGTTCAATGATTGGTTCAATTCAGTTGCAGGTTGTTTTGCCAACCAAATCGATCAGGTCAAGTCTGTAGTTTGTCACTCGAAACCAATTGACCATTAGCGAAAACCAACCAACTCGGGTTGTACCGATTTGGGTCTATTTTCGGTTTAGTTTGTTTGTTCAAAAGATTTAAACTTAAAAAATTAAATTTAAATTTCATAAATTACAATGATATTATTAAAAAATAAATTACAAAAATTAAATCTATGATATAAAATATTTTAGACTAACAAATATGGGAATTTTCCTACTTTCCCGTATTAAAAAATTAAATTTAAAATATAAAATATTAATATATATTTATTAAACCAAAGCCAATCTGAAATACTAGAAAACCGACTAACTCGGGTTGAGTTTGATCGGATTGTTTATTAAAAAGTTCAAATATAAAACAATTATATACTCTTATGTATTTCTATTGTTTTAACTTTCGCTTAAAAAAGCACGGGCCCCATCACCATGCCTCTCCTTGCTCCATTATCCCCCCTACATTCTCTCCTCTCCCCTTCCCACCACTCCTATTAAGCCATGTCACCCAACTACTTAAAAATATTCGTTTAATATTTAATCCCACCCATATTCAATGAGTATTAAATAGTGTTATTACCAAAAGTTAATAAATACGGTTAGTAAATTACCAAAAATTAATAAATATTGTTATTAATTAACTCATTAACAACATTTTATAGAAATTGAAAACTATTTAACTAATTTCTATAAAATTGAGAATTATATTTAACAATTATAAAAAAGTATAAAATTTTAGTTATTGTTATTATTATATTTAATAACCAAATACAAATGGGGGAACAAAATATATAATGTTAGAAAACGAAACTATTAATTAATTTATATTGAAAAATAAAAGATAAATTAGTGTAATTTTGTTAGTAAACTACCAAATAAAAAATATATATTTAATAACAATTTAAAAAAGTTCAATAAATCCCCATATTTACACAAATGTAATAAAATTTTCATAAAACTACATTTTCATAAAATAACATTTTTGAAAGTAAAGATATAAAGTATTTGAAAGTTTATTTAAAATGCATTAAATAATTATTGAAAATTATTAGAATATTTTAAAAATTTTAGGAAAATTTATTACATTTGATAGACTTTGGAAAATTATTGAAAAAATTATGTAATTTTCATTGCAAATTATTGAAAATTATTAAAGATAAATGACTATGGGAAATGAAAAACTATAATTTGAACAAATAATTACACAAATTATTAAGATAAATTAGTATAATTCTGTAAGTAAACCATTTAAAAAGAAAATAGTTTATTTAATAAAAATTTAAATAAATTTAAATGAACTTTCAAAATTACACAAGTACAATAAATTTTCATAAAATTACATTTTTGAATATTAAAGACAATTTAGTGTACTTTTATAAATTTACCAAGTCGTTGATACTCAATATATACTTTTGATCATTTCTATCATCAAATTGAATATTGGGTTGACGGGGACAGTGTTTTCAAAATTGGATCAAACCAGATGGTTAGACCGAAAAATTGGGAACCGAACATCGTTTCTCCTCAAAATCTCTTTTTTTCTAAAAACTGTTTATTTGGTTAGCGAACCGCTGACCTAGGCGGTCGAACCATCAACCCGGACAATAGTTTTTGGCCTTTTTTTGTTTTTTGAAATTTTCATTTTTTATTTTTGTCAGAGTAGGTCATCCATTTGACAAGCAGACCGTTTCGACCCCATAATGGTTCCCTATTCGGTCCAATTTTAAAAACCTTGGATGGGGAGTGGGTGCCTTGCCTTGAGACTGGTTTGGTGTGTGGCATGGACCAACCCGACCCATGGCATGGGATGGGGCTATGTGGGCTCAAGCCATGGGCCATGCTAAATCGACCCCCCAAATTATCCTAGAGGAGGGAGGCATGGCTTGGGACGCCTCGTGGTCCAGCACGGCACGACTCGCACTTTGTGCAAGCCACATGCGGGTTGTGTTGTGCCGACCTAACACGACCCAATTTACACCTCTACTTGAACCCGCCCAATACTGGGGACAAGGCAAGGAAATTTGCCCCTGAACTCGCTCGTCATTGAGGAGTGGTTACCTTGCCCTGAACCCGTGTGACACTAGTGACGGGGTGGGGATGGAGTGCTCTGCCCTGAATCCACCCCATTGTCATTCCTATATAATTATTAATTATTAATGAAATTAATAAAAATATTAATTTTATTTATTTTAAAAGTAATAAAAATTTCATTTAAAAATAATAAAAAGAATAAAAATTATTAATAAAACTAAATTTATTAAAAATATTTATTCATATTCAATTAATAATTATTATTTTTTATAGATCAACATTAAATGGAAAATAAAATTATTAAATCTTTCATATTTTCCGTGCATCGCACGGGTCCATCCTAGTGATTAAATAAATAAAACAAAAACAATAACGAATGATTAAAAAAATTGAAAAAATATATGTAATGCAATAAATCAAAACTAGGCCAAAAGGAAATGTATAGCGATGACTTATTACTCTTCTTCTTCTACCGGTCGTCTCCGTCTTTTAACAGGTGGTAATCGTTCCTCGTAAACGTCATTTCTCTCGTGTGTGAAGCTCGAATCTCCTCGTTCGTCCCTCGGAATCTTGTATGGAGTTCGAATTAGGAGAACCGTAGAGGGTGAATCCTATTGATCGAGGTGCGTATTGTTAGAATATGTGAATTTGAGGTTTAAATCACCTAATTTGCTTGTTCTTAGGGTTCTTGACTGTGGTTTCATGGTTTTTGGATTTTGATTCTGTAGTTTTTTTTTCCGTGTTTGCTTTGGTTTGATAGAATTTGATGTAGATGTAATGGAAGTTTATTTTTCTACTGACTGAGATAAAATATCGGATTTTTGTCTGTTTGATTCGTGCTTACCAGGGATTTCGTTTTTGCATCCGTTTCAAGGTTTTCATCGGGTTTTCTGCTTTTGTTTTTGTCTTTGTTTATGGGGGGGGGGTTGGTTTGGAAAACCCAGGTTGACAAAGGTTTGGTATCTGATGCTAGGAAAACCCTGTAGATTAAAAGAAATGAAAGTTTAGAGTTTGATTCTTAAATGTTTCTTTTTTGTTGATTTTAGGGTTCTTTCGGAGGTTTTGGTTCGGTGTAACCGATGCTGAGGAAGCTGCGGCATCAAGTGACTTAAGAAGGAACTCGAGATAAAAAAGAAAATTGTTATATACTAGGGTTTTTTTTTTCTCTACAGGGGTTTGATCGTGGAGAGCTAGATGCTGAAGAAATAAGAAGAGTTGAGGAAAATTGTGTTAGTTGATTGAGAAGATGGTGGAGGGCCCAAAATTCACTGGAATTATAGGCAATAACCATAATGAAAACAATTATTATGATTTCACATCAGGGTTTTACCATAAAATTGGTGAGGGGTCCAATATGTCCATAGACAGTGTTGGGAGTTTACAGACAACCAACGGAGGGGGATCTGTCTCCATGTCTGTAGATAACAGCAGTGTTGGGTCAAATGATTCCCACACTCATATTTTGGGTCACCCTGGCTTGCGTCCAGTGAACATGAATAACAATTCTGTAGGCTACAGCGTCCGTCCAGGAAGAGTATCGCATGCTTTAAGTGACGATGCCCTGGCCCAGGCCCTAATGGACAGCAGATACCCCACGGAAGGCCTTGAAAATTATGATGAGTGGACAATTGATTTGAGGAAGCTTAACATGGGGACTGCTTTCGCACAGGGGGCTTTTGGGAAACTCTACAAGGGGACTTATAATGGTGAAGATGTTGCGATCAAGATATTGGAAAGGCCAGAGAACAATGCAGAAAGGGCACAATTGATGGAACAACAATTCCAGCAAGAAGTCATGATGCTTGCTACGCTGAAGCACCCAAACATAGTCCGCTTTATTGGGGCATGCCGTAAGCCAATGGTTTGGTGCATTGTGACAGAGTATGCAAAGGGTGGGTCAGTCAGACAGTTCTTGATGAGGCGGCATAATCGATCAGTACCTTTAAAATTAGCAGTCAAGCAGGCCTTGGATGTTGCAAGGGGAATGGCTTATGTGCATGGACTTGGTTTCATACATAGGGATCTAAAGTCCGACAACCTCTTGATCTTTACAGACAAGTCGATCAAGATTGCAGATTTTGGAGTAGCTCGGATTGAGGTTCAGACGGAGGGAATGACACCAGAGACAGGAACATACCGTTGGATGGCCCCGTAAGATTCCTCTCTCTTTATTAAGATATCTTTTTCTTAATTATTGAATGATTCCTTCAGTTCTTTTTTTGTTTTACTCATATAATTGGTTACGGGTTCAACTAAGTTTACAATGCTTCAATGTGTGAAAATACAATTAAACATGGACACTTTATGCTACCTTATCAATCAAGAATCTCCAACGTTTTGAATGGCATACTGCGTTCCTTCCTTGGTGCCAAGTGTTGTCAGGAATATTGCTCTATCTTTTATTTTGGGCTGGCTTGTTGCAAACAAGGATCAAAATTTTGCAACATATTGGCCTGTATCGGCCAATATGTATTGTATTGGCACGGTGTGATATACTGTTTTTAGGGTTTTGGGAAAAATCCACCTCATGTTTAACACTTGTTTAAGTAATATTAATAGAAAGGGCACCCACCTCTGTAATAGATTAGTTTACAAGCATAACTGCATTCTATGACTTGAAAACTCAAAAAAAAAAAAAAGGCAGCCCAGTGCATGAAGCTCCCGCCAATGTGGGGTCTGGGGAGGGATAGATGTACACAGCCTTACCCCTGCAGATATACATAGAGAGGCTGTTTCCAAGATTTGAACTTTGGTCACTCAGGTCGCAATTGAGCAACCTAACCATTGCGCCAAGGCCCACCCTTGACTTGAAAACTCAACATGTTCAAAATAAGGATGGGGCACATCAAGTTTTAATTGTCTCACAAAATTGCAAAACCAGTATCAAATCTGAGAAACCAATCCCCTTTTCCAGCCAAGCTTTTCACTGAAAACATCACAAACTCATCTAATAAAAAACATGACTCATCTCAATAGAGTATATAAAAAAATGAAATGGTAGCATTTCAGGTTATGGAAGAAATCAGTATAGCTCTCAACAATCAACTGTTCATGAGTTCAAACTTTACCAATCACCTTAGCTGGTTATTTATTGATAGCATAGCTTATTTACCATCTGTTTTGGCTTCTCTACCAAGTCTATCATAGAGGTCGTTAGAATTCAAGTATTCAATTTATTATGCTCCTAAGAGAGCTTACAATATGAAAAGAGATTTCTACCCAACACTTCAAAATAACAACCATACCAATGCCTTTCCTTCACTTGCAATGACTAAATCATCATATTTTAGTTCTAATACTAAATTAGTAAGTTTTTTTTTTTTTTTTTTTTTTTTATAAAGAACGCCTATCATATCTCTTCTAGAGGATGTTAAGAGTTACAATTTTCTGGATCCATCACTAATTTAACACCATAATACATGGGCCCAAACCCTTTCCTTGATCCAGATTGTGCCACTTGTGAAACAAACCATTATCATTCTTAGTCCATTTTATTAGTAATACATTTTGATAATTTTTAGTTTAATTTATTATGGCATTCGATATTAGTAGAAGTTAATTTGAACTTTTTAGTTGTTATGCCCTATGGAATTGGAGTAATCTAATGGGTGTCCATGTGTATGGAGTTCCATAAGATATTTTTATCCAAGAATGTTGCTAGTTGCAGTTACATGGTCTCCTACTTTTAATTTAAGGTTTTAATTATATATTAGAATTACAAATTTAGATTAGTTATCATCACTCAAGCCTTCACTAAACTTTAAAGAGAACATTCGCAGAGCTTGGAATTACGAATAAAAAGAGGGGTAGAGTTGTTATTACAAATCAGGATATACTGACCAAACTAAGAGAAACAATTCATCAAAAAAAAAAAAAAATCTAAGAGAAAAAACACTCTCTCTCTAAAGAAATCTGCATTTGTTTAGTCTTAGCCTTTTATTTTCTTAATTGGGTTTTTGCCATGTTGCATTGTTTTGTTATATCTGTTTGTAGATTCTCATCCACAACAAGTTGTGCCTCAAAGAGTTCATGATGCAAACAAGTGTCAGTGGCTGGTCGGAATCATGCACAAAAAGTAGTAGAGAATGCTGTCAGATAAAAATCTATAGATAGACAATATATGTTGAATAGCCATATAAATAGAGGGCAAACATGGAAAGGGAAATCAGGGTCTTTTGACCAAACAAAATGCAAGTATGCAACATTCTCATTTTCTTAGTAATAGAAATAGGAATAGGAGTTTTGAAGGTGCACAGGTTCGTAGATGTTAAATACCAAAATGTAAAGTCAATTAAAAGTTGGTTTAAAGTGAGGAGTTCAAGGTAAATGGTTTGTCTTGTAAGTTGTTCAGATCAGTTTTCAACTTATTCATGGTAGCATGAGCAGTAACAAAATATTTTCTCAACTCTCCGTAAGGGTGCTTTCATTAAGAGCATTTCTGTTTTTCCCTTGCAATACACTTTTAGTTTTCTGGAATTTATGTTTTTTAAGTAGATTTATTTTTTCATGTGAAGGGATTTCATTTTTGGTTTACCCTACCTTTAAACATATGGCAAAAGTTTCAAACTATTCATAAATTTGAAATCATAGAGATCTAAGTGCATGGCAACTGGCAAATAGATATATGAACATTCATAATTTCAACATTTTCTTCTTGTAGAAATAGCCAAAGATCATCCTGATGATTCTGGTTTTTTTGAGAAAAGGTAACTATTATGCAAAAGGGGCAAAAGGGGCGGGGATGTACAAACAAACCATTTTGTGAGATCCATATTTAATATACCACCAGAATTTTGTAAACAAGGTAGTTCAAATTTTAACTTTCGATGTCTTGATCTAAGATAAAGTTGGTTCCGTTATATGGATGTGGCATAATTGTAACATTTCTGTTTATCCTTGTTCTTAATTGATGTAATACTTTGTTGGAAGAGGTAACAGCTCGTGCCTCTTCATGGGCTTCCTGTATTGCCTTAATTTCTGGATTAAATTATTTTTATTCATCAAAAAAATTCCAACACTTCTGCTCTGTCCCCCCATCCACNACTCCATCCTTTTTGCCTTTTCATTGTTTTCTCTGTTTTATGGTTTCACTGTTACCTATTTTTGTTATTTCTATGTCATTTTACTATTCAAAATCTATTTCAGAAAATGTGAAAAATGTTTGCTGTCATATGCAGTTTCAGTCTTGTAACAGGTTTTGATGGTTTCAACTGAAGAATTACATCAAAACCATAAGAAATGCAAAATGTTGGTTGGAACATGGAAACATATAGACTGAACTGAAGCTTTTAGATGATTTAAGGGGAAATGGAACTTTAGGGAGAAAGTGGCTATATGTTAAAAGAATGAAAAAGAATATGAAACTAGATCTGTCAGTGCAACAGGCAATATGTTGATCAGAGAGAGCGGGTAGACAAGTTTTGTATTGGGTTACTTCACTGCCATACGTTCCAATTGGTGTTGCAAGTTTGACAAAGCCCATGTTCTGAGATCACTTTTTTGGGTCTTTTAATTCTTCCTTTTCTCCTTGCAATAGATTTTTTTTTTCTTTTTCTTTTGGCACCATAAAAAGGAGTTGTCTCATTAAAACTCTAAAAACATGAAAAATATGCTATTTTTATCAGTTTAGTTGCAAGAATCCATATGACAGGAACTTTCGAAGACCAAAAACAAAACAAATGTATGTCTGATGTCTCAATCATATTTTTTGCTATTGATTTATCAATATTTAATTTAAAATATTAGGAGAAAATCATGATAATAACTAAATTGTCAAAATGAAGATACGATTGCTTTATTGGATAAGGCCTGTGGATTGTGTATCTCATCGTTAAAGAAGCTAGGTCCTTGGTCTTTAGAGTAAATCCCTCATTCAACTAGGTCCTATACTCCTATGACTAAATTGTCAAAATGAAGGTACGATTGCTTTATTGGATAAGGCCTGTGGATTGTGTACCTCATCGTTAAAGAAACTAGGTCCTTAGTCTTTAGAGTGAATTCCTCATTTAACTAGGTCCTAAAACCACCTACTGGAAGATTGACTTGTTGAAGTGAAGGGATTGGTTGAGGAAATTCAAATTGGAATCCAGGCCTCAGCTCCATATCTCGAGGCTGAGGTCATGTTGTAGCACTTGCTTGAGAATGCTTTGGGCTAGTGGCTGCCTAATGGTGTTATCGGATCTCCCATTATGGAAGCCTACTTTTTCATCATCTAATGAATTCCTATTCTTACATTACCAACAAAAAAAGAATCTGTTTGTTTTATGCCTCTAGAATATAAGGCAAATTGTGGCTAAAAATCATTTATTCGTGAACAGTTCTACCTTTAAAATGCCATATGCAAATTGGTACATACTATGTTTCTTATTTTAAATGGATAGCACTTTTAGTTATAAGTCCGAAGTGTGTATTGATTCTTATTCTTCCATTTTCTAAAGTTCTATCTTTAGAACGTTGCTGTCAATATAATACATATAAGGACAAATATGGTGGAACTACAAGAATGCTCCTGTAAAGTCAAAAATAATTATCCGAAAGTACAGATGGATATACATATTTTCATCAGGATCTCTCATCTGCTTTAAATTCACAGCATTTCTTTCCTTTTTAAATAACTGTTTTGTTTATTTCTTTCCTATTTAAGCGTGTTCTGGTTCTTATTCTACCGTGTTGCAAGTTTCTGCTGGATGTCAAGAACTTAAAATGTGATGTTTCATAATTATTGAGTGCTTCTATAAGCTTCATATAACTTCCACAAATTAGGGCCCATTTGGTTCACAGTCGGAATCCCTTGGAATCTGAATGTAATGGTCTATCCCCATAGTCTGTTTGGTCCAGCCAGCAATTGGAATGGGATTTCATTCCCAAGGGAGGGGGAGGGAATGTCATTCCACTAGGAATGGGAAAGGGGCTCCAATTCTGCCCAACCAAACAACTGGAATCAGAATGGCCCATTCACATTCCCATTTTCCAGACCCCTATTGCCACAAACCAAACAGGACCTTAATTCCATTACCACATGGATCAGATATTACGTCAAGAGTTTTTTTTGAACAGTAACAGTAACCATATTAAATTGGTCCATTGCTTGGTACAATGGTAAAACTTTAGGCTGACAAACATGAAAATGTGAGTTAAGAGTCGGGGAATGGCAACTTGGGCAAAAAAAACGCAGAAGTTTAGGTCCATATCCCATCCACCCCTCCTACGATCCTGGATAGTCGGGGCTAATATAATATTGGGTCGTGACCCATTAACAGTAATATTAAATATGGTAATAAAATTATAAAAGATGTACCAAAGGAGATTGCAATCCTTCAGTAAACGATCTCATTATAAGTAAATAAGAGAGTAACAAGGAAAAGAAGACACAGAAAGATGTTCAAGTGTCTTCCCTTACTGTCTTACAAGTTACAAGATCTCACATTTGTTCAAAATCTTTTATGTTCCCCTTCTTTGAAATCTTTTAAAGCTAGTTCTCAGTCCATGATGAATGAGATACTATATGCATTGAAATTGGTGTTTAGAACTTCTATATACACTTTATATAGTAATTGATATGTGCTTTTTTGGTATTATTGCTTTGTGGATAGGTTATTTTCTTCTGGAACATTTCACTTATTATTATTTTTCTTCCATGTCAAATATGTGATGTTTCTTCATTCGTTTTATTTGGTTGATTATGAGCATTCTTCCAATTGAGGTTACTTGAATGCTCCGTTCCCTGGTATTGCAGAGAGATGATCCAGCACAGGCCCTACACACAGAAGGTCGATGTGTACAGCTTCGGAATTGTCTTGTGGGAACTGATCACTGGCATGCTTCCGTTCCAGAATATGACAGCTGTACAGGCAGCATTTGCTGTTGTGAACAAGGGTGTCCGGCCTATCATCCCCAATGATTGCCTTCCTGTTCTTAGTGAGATCATGACCCGCTGCTGGGATGCCAACCCTGAGGTCCGCCCACCATTCACCGAAGTGGTTAGGATGCTTGAGAATGCTGAGACAGAGATCATGATGACTGTCCGCAAGGCCCGTTTCCGGTGTTGCATGGTACAACCAATGACAGCTGACTGATCCAGCAAGCAAAAGATACAACAAAGAAAACAGAGGAAAGCATAAAAAGCAGGTGATTTTATCCGAGTCTTGTGTATCTACTAGTCTTTTCAGATTTTTTTTTTTTTATTTATTTTTATTTTTTTGTCTAAGATAGGAAAACAAAAACGAAATGTTACTAAAGGACTGCCAGCCTCTGGGTTCTGGTATTTACCGGGCTTTCCTCTGGTATCTACCAGTTTCTGGTTTCTGGTTTTATTTTACTGAACTGCTGTTGCTGAAGTAGTAGTAGAGGAGATTGATGTGTATTCTTCCCTTCTTGGTATATGCTGGCATGCCTTCTCTTTTTTGCTTTGCTTAACAGAAGCAGGTTCTTTACTGGATCTACTCCTCCCCTTATTTTTGTTCATTGTTGGTTGCTAATACTCTCTCCTTTACGAAGTAATTCGCAATTTACAATTTATCTTCTTTTTTTGCTCTGTCATACATTGGACCATTATTTGAAACATCAAGTCAGTGGAAAGAGTTTACCAAGAACAAGCCCTTCCACATAATGCTTTTCGTTCATGCATTTATGTCCTTAGCCATGTTACGGTTTTCAAAGCATTCCAGAAAATGACCTTGCATGTTGTTGTCTAGATCGGGTTATATCTGTATGGATCCAGAATATCATTGCATTAGCTATGATTTTAACCTTTGTCCGTTCTTTATGGGAAAATATAAAAGAAGGATCCTAGATGGTTATAAACCCAAGTTGAATAGTTTTCAATCAACGGCCTTGATCGCCAAATTGCTTGAACATCATAATTAGATTGAATCATATTTAAAAATCTGATATATCAGATTGAATTTAGATATGGCTTCATCCAATCCATTAATATATATATATCAGATTGAATTTATATACCCATGAATTTTGATAAATACCACTCGATTGGTTACCACGTTTATGATATCGGTTGATTGGTCATAAATTTTTCAGAAACCATGTCTTTCCAGTATCACATACAAACCCATAGTCAAATCAGATCATCTAGATTCCAGACATTTACATGATCAGATTCGGATAACCCATCCAAATTCTTTTGATCCGTACAAGTGCTGCCCAGTGCCCACCCTGACCCATCTGGTGGACATTTTGGATCGATAAGTCTTTTGCCAATTTGTCTTAAGTCCTTGAGACTGAAATTCTCCAGGTCGGGCCTCTTTCGGAGCCTGGGAGGGCTGAGTTGAGAATTCAGTTAAAATAAGCTATATTCGAAAAGACTTGAGCAGATAGACTGGCAGTCAATTTGGTTTTTTTTTGGAATTTTCACCAAACATAGCTTGTAGGCTGCTCATGTTGGATCCACAAAGTCAAAAGCCACTGTATTTCAGCCCTCCTAAATGAACACTTACGTTGCATTTGGCGTTCCTTATTTTAAGGACTTTATTTCTTCTGTGCTGTTAAAATGCCCATAAGAAAATTAAGATTTTAAATGCAAAAAGAAGATAAATCCTTAAAATAAGGAATGCCAAATGCAGTTTGTGTCCTTGGCAAAACTAAGGCTGCTACTTTTCTTCAACATATTTAAGATCTCACAATGTGCTGTGGTTAGGTGTAAGAGGATGGATTCCTTTCGGCCACTGGGCCCATTCAACATAATGAAATGCATTTTGAATATGAGATTTGATGAATAAAAGAATTATATGGCTTTAATGATTGTTTAAAATATCTATAAAAAACTCTTTAAAATGGGTAAATTATAGATTAATACCTTCACTACAGTACTTGAACTCTTAAAAACTGCCACTTCAGCCCTGTAGCCCCCTCATTAGCATTCTGTCAATAATCTAACACACATGATGTCATATGTTCAAAATTCCAAAGTTACCTTTCAGAAGAGGACATTGTTAATCATCTTCTTCCTTGAGACTAAACCAAAACAGCGGTAAGCAAAATCCCATACCCACCACCAATATACTTCCCCTCAAGATGCCCCAATGCTATCTTAAAGTCATCCCTCGAGTCATGATCAAGAGTTTCTTAACTTGGCACTAAGGTGTCAATGGACCGGTTTTGGATTGGATCCGTCCAGTCCAAAATCAATTTGGACAGACCAACAAGACATATTGGATTGGACGAATCTAGTCCAAAATATTTATTAGATTGGATTGGATCTGGCCCGTTCGTAACAAATTTATATTGGATTGGATTGGATTAAGCTAATATCTGGTCCATTGATAAAAGATAAGAATATATGTGTAAATGGACCGGGTTTGGGTTGAAACCAATATAAATCAAAATGAATTTGAACAGATTGGACAATTCAGACATTAAATTGAGGTGGTCCAAATTGCTACAAAACATTCATTGGATTGAATTGGACCTGGTCCATTTATAATGGACTCACATTGGACAAAATCCAGTCCAATTGACACCCCTACTTGGCACTTAACAATCTTGGATGAATGGAACAAGTTTCCCTCGATATATGCAGCATACGGAAGAGATCAAGTCATCAATGACCTACCATGTATGACAGTATTCCATGTTTCTCAGCTGCCGGCATATGAAAGAGGCTAATTCATCAGTTCTTTAAATGTAGTTGATTGTTTATGACAACAAAGGGTAATTTGGCAATTTCATTATTCATTGTAACAATTGTTAACTATGTTAGACTAAAGTAACAGTTTTTGGGAGTCACCAAAGGAGACTACCCCAAGTGCAAGATACTAATATACAATTTATCCTTAAAAAACAAGCATAGCCTATGCTTGCTCAATATGCCTGAAACCACAAAGAACAGGACATAATACAATGTATAGAGCATTTGTATTTGTAAGGTTCATGAAAATGACAACATTTATAATTGCACCGAATATATTTATATTTCCACTCGTCCCAAATGGAGCCATAAAGATTTACATCTTACAATTTATTTTGACTTTAATTGTTCGGATGTGACCAGACTTAAAACCTATGTTAAGTGGCATAACCTTAGGCCAAGTTCAGTTCCATTATGATACGGGAAAGACATAGTACAAGAAAAATTCATAATCAGCCAACAAGTGTACAAGTATCATAAAAGTGATAACAAATAAAATGGTATTCATCAAATTCAACCAGGGGTGGTTGATTGGTCAAAACTCTTATTTAAGGAATCATAGAGATATCCAAAAAAATATATAACTAATCAATCGGTATCATAAAAACAATAACCAATCAGGTGATGTACCAATCAAATGATATTCATCAAAATTCATAGGATTTTTTATTTGTATATTCTGATATCATACTTTTCCGGCATCATGAATTCACCAATATAATAACATACACATATACGCACGGGATATGCATATATGACCGAAATGAGTTTAGTTCTGGTCTGGTCTGGTCTACTCTTAGTTCCTAGCTTACTTGCTCAGCCATTTGGTCTTTTCCTGGGTATTGTTTAATGTCTCTACCTGTTTTGTATCCTTTGTTTTTTGGGTCTTGTTGCTCTTATTTTGCAACCTAGAGCTTAAAACAAAGAGTTTAATTCCTCAATTCCTCCATGTTGTGAGATCATTTCAGGAGGCTGTTATGGAATGTTGAAAGAGCAATTTTTGGTCAAAGACTCAGATCGTCTTTAGCCCAAATCACCGTTCCTGGGAAGCAAAAACTCTACACGTACTCTGCATATACAGGCATTCAGCTACATATTAGAAACATCTTTCTATGAATTTAATATACATGTATCCAAGATATTCCTAATGTATTAGTGAATGTGATGTATGCAAAGCTTTTGATTGCAGAAAATCAGAACTCCCAATAACCACATGCCATGTGGAAAAAAAAAATAATTTAAAATTGAAGTTAGGAATGGCAAAGGGGTGGGTTTGGGGCGGGGATCGTATTCTTCATCCCCGATCTCGATTCTGAAATTAACCTTCATCCCCGTCCCTAATCCTCGACGGGGATGGGTTCCCTATGGAAACCCGAATCCCTGAAATATTTTCAGATAACAGTATTTTTTTAATGAATTTACTTAAAATAAATAAAAATTTTAAATTATAAATAATGTTTTAAATATATATATATATATATATATATATATATATAATANTATATATATAATATTATATAAATAATATAATAGTATACTTAATATAAATAACATTTAATATATAAATAATATATAATCGGGGTTGGGTTGGGGTGGGGCGGGGACCTCAATCCCTATTCCTGACCCTGACCCGACTGGGGATTTTTATTAATCCCTGTCCCCGTTCTTGCCCCACCAAAACAAAACAATCCTCGTCCCTGGCCCCATCAGGTCAGGAAAGTTGGGTCTCCATCGGGGATGGGAAAAATTGCCATCCATAATTGAAGTCTTATCATAAAATGAAAAAAAAAAAAAGAGAATGACAGATCAGCCCTGCTCAGAATTCTTAGCCCCACTTTACAGGGACGAATCCTAACCGTAGATTGATGTTCACGGGCAGGATGTGGATTCTAGGGGGCTACTAGTAAATTATAGGGACTGTAATTTCAGAATTCTGCATTAGGCTGCTGAGTACTTCTCTCAAAAAAGATTTTGTCATATAATGAATTTTCTTTTATTTTTTTCTTGTCTTACTTTCTTCAATGGATGGTTAAAAAAGTAAAAATAATTGAAATGAAAGCGCTATGATTCATGGGAGGAGTGTCGGCAATGTAGAGGGACGAGCAATCTGATGGCAGAATAAAATGAAAGTTTAGTGAAAATCAAAAGCAAGACATCTTAAATTCTAAGTTTCCAAACATACCCCTAACTGTAGAAATAAGGTGGACCGGATAGCATAATTGGGTTCCGTTTAGGAGTGTCAGTGGGTCGATTTGAGTGGCAAACTGGCAAACCTGCTGCATTGCATTGACTCAATCTTATTGGGTCAGGGACTTAGGGTGGGCTTAATGAATCGTATTCGAATTCAAATGGATTAAATCCAATCCGTTTGTGGCGCTAGTAGTGTATGCATTACCATTTATAAAAGAAAAAACCTTGTCCGCCTTGAGAAATAACTTGTTCATTTGGATTTCAGAGAGTCTGGCTTCAAATCAAATGACCTAATGCCCCAAAGAAAATTTACGGCTGCAAATGGATCGAATCGAATCCATTAAGATTTATTATATTCGATTTGTGGATTTGAATTCTTTAATTTTTTTTTAAAACAGCCCTTAAAGCTAAATTCATTGCAACAATAAATCATTCTCCAGTAATTAGGAGGCGAGAATTAAGTAATGATCCTACTAACATGACAAAAAAACTTTGCAATTCCACGGGCAGCCTTATTTCTTGTACGAGGGGTAAAGGAGATTGAAACAGCTTGAAACTGTTGCAGAAGATTGCTGCAGGCAAGAGAGGCATACAACAGGATATCTATAATCTTCTAAGCATCTCCTTTAATAAGGATATGGGGAGATCAAATCAGCCCCCCATAATATCCCACAGCACATTCCCGTGATGTATTGGGAACATCTCCCGATGATAATTTCATAAATGATATCATTATTAGGAAATGCTCTTGTTACATGGTGAAAATGTACTATGAGACGTTGTAGGGGGCTGGTTTGAAGAGGTGGAGATCCTTTGCCATTTGGAGTCCATCTCTGAATGCTCGAACCTCAGCAATGTCAAGTTCTGCCCTTTCCAAGCAAATGACTCTATTAAACACCAAGTTTCCAAAGTGGTCTTTCAAAATAATATCCAATACAGAACAAGAATCTCTATTTGCACCATCAATATTAATCTTTAAAAACGGGTGTGAGGGAGGAGATCATTAAAGGATTACTATTGGGTAAGCTGTTTTCAGAATCAAGAGTGCTCCACACCCTTTTCAGTGTGACCGATATAAGAATTTCAACTGGGTTAAAATCTTTATTTTCCATGTCCTTCTTGCATCTATCTTTCCAACGGTGCCAGAGGATTATAACAAACTTACTCAAAAGACAGAGATCACATTTAAAAAAGAAATGCATTGTCTTGAGAAACAATTCTTTGTATGTTCTCAGTAGGTATTGGAGGTTCCTAATCCTAAGAAACGATTCTCCATCAGAAAAATATATGATCATAGGAAATTATGATTGGACTTGGATTTACTTGACTCAATTGAAAATATCATAAGACTCCTTTTTTCCAGTTTTAGTTAACAAAGCCCATGCAACACATAGGTCCTGACTAGTAATAACTTAATTGACCTAATCACTTATCCATTATATATGTTGCAATGGAGAACATTTCACCCATATTTTGCACATATAATAGTTTGTGCTATAATGCTAGACAAATGATGTTTTCATTTTTCAATCCTTTTTGTTAGGGATGGCAAAGCGGGCTTTGTAAATTCTCGATCCTACTTGCCTCCTTAATCTCCTAACTCGTATTCACTCCAAAATTTGTAGTATGTAGATTTTGAGAATCCAAATCCTCTCCGACCCTATACTCTCCACATTCAAGGGTAGAGGCAGGTTGGGTTTAAAACTCGCATATAATTTTTAATTATTTCTTGTTATATATACGTAATAAATAAGTAAAATAGTACAAATGAACAACAAAATTTTCAATTATTTGATTAAGATATGTTAAATACACATAAACTATCAATTATCCTTAACATAAAGTTCAAAATATTATTAATTTCAATACCTAGTACATATGCTTTCCAGCTATATACAGGTTAGAGAGAATCGGGTTTAGCCTAATAGCATATCCTAACCATACTTATATGCATCGTAGAATCTCTCAAAATTCATTCCCGCCCCAAAATCCATCCTTTAAGCAAAAAAACCCATCCTATCAGAAAGGGGTAAAGGTGATTATCCACCAGATAGGGTAGAAATTAACATCCTTACTTTTTTTTTGAGAGAATGACTGTCAGTCCAAGTCAGAAATTCTAGCCTCGTTGTAGAGGAGGATAAATCCTGACCACGAATTAATGCCAAATTCATAGATAGGATGTGATTTATATGAGGGTTACTAATAGAATATCAGAGATTGTAATTCAAAATTTTACATTGGGTTACAGTGCACTTAACTTTTTTTTTTTTTCGGTTTAAGTGTTCAAACCACTTATAGAGGGAACCGTAAAATCCTTTTTAATAAAAGAAATTGCCATCCCTACTTTTTATCATCGTATTCGACTCAGGTTTTTCCGCATATCGCACGGGCCCCGGTAGGCCGCTAGAGAAAAAGGAAAATAATATACTTTGGCCCTTGCACACGCGTGATGGGTTGAGGGTGTTTTAGTAATTATACCCTCCTCGACACTTGTCCATGTTATCCTCCACGTGACTAATAAGCCAGGAATTTTTACTTCTGCAACGAGAATCTTCTTTTTAAATCATCGTTAAACTTATCCGATTGTGCGACGTGTACACTTCCTATTGGTTCAAGATAACACATGAAACTTCCAACTTTGTCAATTATATATCGTTGCTCTACCAAAAAAAATTGTTTTTCGTCGTAATTGTATTGTACGTAATCTTCGTGATCCAATAGGAGTGGCGCATTGATATATTAACATATCACCGTCAGATTAGTACATCTTTTCTTCCGGAAATGGTTGAACTATTTAAAGAGATTCCAATCTGATATTTCATAGTTTATCTTCTGTGGGGCCGTAAAAAGGACAAAAATTCAAAACATAAGTCCAAAAAGGGTTCGGTATACAAAGGCCATATTCTCTCCGCCCGAGATTCCTGCTTGAACATCGACGGAGTGAGAGCTCGTCAGCTGGAAAATTTCTCGGTTGAAGGTACTTTTCTTTCTCAAATTCCAAACTTTCATATAGTAAGCAACTAATTTGGATCGGATCGCCAAAGTTTAAACACAGGAACCTACAATGAAGAATTGAAATCGAAAGTGTCTGATTACTTCAGTCGTTATCGGGAATGAGTTACTAGTAATAGTACTGATCCTGGTTTTCGTTGTTATTTCATCCAACTTTGAGAATGAGAAATCTATGGGAATCAAATTAGTATTAGTTTGGATTTTCTTGTTTCAATTTGCTCTCTGATGGAAAGAGCAACTGGTAGTGGCATTGAAATGGTAATGCTGATTTTTGTTCTACTTATTTTTCCATTTCTGGCAAACTCGTAGTCATGGGGCGGATACAGGAATTTTCTACTGGGGTTCAACAGTGGATGGACTACTTGATGCAAATGCTATGTAGCATTTGTTGCTTGTTCTTAAGTTATCGGTTTTGTTTAGTATGCCTGGTGTTATGCAATGTTCTCTGTGCTTCTCTTAAGCTTTGAAATGCATCGCTATAGCATAAAGTGGTTGAAAGATGGTATGCATTCTTTTTCGTCTATTCCAATCTCAGTTGTAGTAATCAAATAAGATTTGAAGGAGCATGCTGGAGTCTAACTGTGATTAAAATTGTTAATGGGTGTTTTCATGCTTTTATTGCCATGTATCTATGACGTACATCATTATATTATAATGGTGATTCTAGTCGATGTAGTCCTTAAGATGCACTTTGATGTTAGGGTGAACATGGGACAATTCACTATATTTTTGATAATCAACAGAATGTATTTCGTTCATTATAAAAGAAACTATGCTGTTATGCTATCCAGAATTGGATGGCAGGTCCTGTCGTGCTGCTTACTATATGTAGAGCGGTTATCCAGAGGATCATTTCATTTAGGCCTTGTCAGACCCCCCCTTGAACTAATGTTATGCATTTTATTCTTCTTAATATAAAAGGTTTTTATTAAAATTAAATAAAAAATGAGATCCCCCCTTCCTCTTCATCCTCCTCCTAACCCCCTTCCTATTAAGGAGGCTTATGCCTCCTTGTGTTCGGGAGGCTTACGCCTCTTGCGTTTTGAACTACGCCTCATGCCTCTAGGTAGAGGAATGCCTTGCGTCATGCCTTTGCGTTTTAAAACATTGATGATAGATAGTAAACGGTGAGGGTAAGCCAGTCATATGATCAGATGCACCTGAATCTATCACCCAACAATGTTTAGTGTTACCTGGAGCTGAAGCATGATAAGTTGAGGCCCGTGTACCTGAATGAGCAAAAGCTGAGGTGGGAGGAGTTGATGTTGTGACTGGTGGCTAAGATGATGATGCTGAATTACCAACTTCATTTTCCAATTGGGTCAAAGCAGTTCGGGCAACTACTAGTGTGTCTAATGGTGTTGCCTTTGTGCCTGATGAGGTTGCACAATCAGTAGTAACAGCCATATTAGCATTCTTTTTTTTATTTATGAGTTTTGCTAGAACTAGATGACGATGTGACTTCTAACAGGTTTCTTTGGTATGCTTAGGTTTCTTGCAATGTTCACATATTAAGTCCCTCTTGTCTTCCTTCTTCATATCTCTCTCCTTATCCCCCCCCCACAAACCTGGGTTTAGTTGCTACCAAGGCTGATTCAAGAGGCGGATGCTGCAACATAACCTTCCTTTTACTCTCTTCACTGTGCACTAAAGAGTAAGCTTGTGATAAGGTCACACTATCTCTTGTTAGAAGTTGTTGTCTCAAAATGTCATACTCAGAATTCAGACCAACTAGAAACTCAAACACCCTATTGGTTTCAACCTGCTTTCTGTAAGTTTGTGCATCCTTCTGACTTTCCCACTCAATTGTTTCTAAGTGATCAATTTCATGCCACAACGATTTCAAGGTTGAAAAATAAACCGAGACTGGTTTCTCTCATTGTTTAAGGTTATTTACCTTATATTTCAGCTCATAAGCCCTAGCAACATTGAGGGGTTAGGAGTAGGTCTCTTTCATGATATCTCAAATTTTCTTAGCTATTTTTGCCAATAAATAGTTTCGGATGATATGCGGCTGCATGGAGTTACACAGCCATGTCATAACCAAATAGTTCTCTTAAACCCATTTGGCATATATTTGGTCCTCCTTGGCTGGTTCCTTCACATCACCCAGCAGATAACTTAGCTTTCCTCTACCTCCAATAGTCATCATGGCTGATTGGGCCCACTCCAAGTAGTTTGATCCATCGAACTTGATAGTGGTAATCTGAAAACTGTTCTCAGGTATGCTACCAACACCACCAGCCCCCAAAAAACTTTCCCCTTGGCTCTTAAACTCCATTCTTTGTCAAGAGAAAGGTCAAAGAGTACCTCTTTTATCACTGAGACTGGGTAATTACACCCAAAATTTGCTAACAGCTGAACCTAAGTTCAAAAAAATAATTCTTTTATCACTAAGAGTGGGTAATCTCACCCAGAATTTTCTAACAGCCTAACCTACTTTACCCTTATAGGTCGGCAATCCACCTAGAAAAAAAAAACAACTCTGATAATCTTCCAGAGAACCAAAACACCTTAGAGTGCAAGGCTGAAACTGAACTATCTGCTGCCCTAGAATTGGTGACAGTCAAGAAACTAGGGTCTTAAACCTAGAACCAGTCGTAGGTCAAGAAACAAGCAAAGAACTAGATCAATAACCAGAAAAGGTGAGATCTCTCAGCCACACCTCTTAAAGTAACCAGAAAAAGTATTCTTTTAATAGATCAATCACAAAGAACAGTCCAAGAAAAGAAATCTCTCAGCCACACCTCTTAAAATAACCAGAAAAGGTGTTCTTTTAATGGATCAATATCAAAAAACTCAACTTACTTCAGTGAAACTCTCGCCACCTTCAAAATCAAGTCTGAACCCTAATCTTGAAAGTTCTTCCTGTTGTCTGACTCTTCCTGATTGCTGGTCATCCTCCAATGCTAGCCGCACACTGCCAACAATCTCCAAGACCCAGCCAATGGTCTTGCTTTGCTGAAAGCTTCCAATCCTAGGAAGTTCTCATGTGGTCGGCCATATTAGACTACCACAAGAATTCCTAGGTTGACTCTGATACCATGTAGTCGAATAAGACTACAATCAGGCCTAGTTTTAGTGTTCAATTAAGAAAGAAAGAAAACAGAGAAAGAAGAAGAGGATAAGAGAAGAGAGGAGAGGAGGAGAAGAAGAGTTCGTAGGGGAGATTAGAAAAAGAGAGGAATAATAGATCTGCCGCCCCTCTCTTACTATTTATATTAATTTTCAAATAAAGATAAAAGGGCTGAAATACCCTTACTGCTTACATGGCAAAAGTAAAACTTAAAGACTCTGACTCAAATAGCTAGCAACTAACAACTAACTGCTGACTATTGAGTACAGTAGTGGGGACCACATCAGTGTTCTCTACAGGGAGGATGGATGGGGAATTTTTAGATAATCATTAGGGGACATTTTGGAACAAATGCCATTAGAGCAGAGTTAATGTCTCTTTCCTCAGGGAACGACACTGGTTCACGCTCATTGGATTACATGAGAGCAGAAGTGGAGTCAATTCTTAGGTTGTAATTATAAGAACATGGGGTTGGCAATAGAAAATTGCAAAGAGTGCAATACAGGCCAGCAACATGGAATTACAAGCAAGGCTCAAGGAATCACAACATGCGACCCGGAGTGCGGTGTGAGCCAAGTGTGTCGTATTGCAACACCATAGCTATACGTCAAAGCATTTCATCAAAAACCCAAATTGGAAGTCTCAATGCCAACGACTAGCTAGATGGCAGACAATTAAAACACGTGAGCACCAAAGACTGAGGAAATGATGCTTTAACTTGTGTGTTTGTGCTTGTGTGTCAGGAAAGGGAGAAGTGGCGAGTGCCCGAGTACCAAAGCCCACGAGGACACGTGGCTGCTTCCCAACTAGTCCAGATGGTGCAGATCATGCTGATCCCAACTCTTCAGGAGTAATCTTCTAGAAGGAAATCCAAAAGGAACTTTCTAGAAGGAAAAAGTCTTCTGGAAGCTATAAATAGGGGGGATCCCCCAAAGAGAGGACCTCTCTAACAGAATTCCCATACTTCCCTCGTGAGTCCCTGGGAGGTTACCGCCTCCAGAGACTCTTCTCACTTCAGTTATCTCTTAGATCTTAGATCTGAGATCCCCTTTCTCTGTCACCCCCAGCGACCCATCTTGGGAGCCATTTGGCTGTCCTGGCAAAGACCTTCTCAGGGCCAATCCCCATAGACCTATAGTAATAGGATGGATGAAAAATGGAAGTGATTCTCCTTATAGTTTTGTCCTCATTTCAGGGAGTCTAGGTCTTTTGCAGTCAATGTGAACATCTTGCTTCAATGGAGTAGTAGATTGGCAAACATTCTTGCTGACTCATTGGCTAGAAGTGGAGTTTGAGAGGGGCAGTTTAGATGTAAATCAGTCCTCTAAAACAGATGTAAACTTGGAAAATGAGAGAGAAAAGAGGAAGAAAAGAAGAGAACAGCAGTACAAGAGAAAGAAGATGGAGAAAAGAGGAGGAAGAAGAAGAAGAGTTCGAATGTCTCTTCCCTCCCTTCTCTAATCCTTTTACTAAACTTCAGTCTTAACATAATTACAAGTATACCCTTAAGTGGTCGGCCAGCTAGACAGTTGTAGAGAACACTGATGTGGGCCCCACAGCTGTGGTCCCACTCTGTCCGTAGGGCAGAATGTTCCTAGTCATCGTAGGGTTAGCTACTGTTATTCTAGTTATTTATTTTTCAGTTTTATATTATTGTGTGTTATGTAAATACCAAGGGCAGATGTGTCCTTTCATGTAACTAGCATAACCTATAAATATTAATAGAAGTGGCGGTGGCAAAATTATTAAGATTCTGTCCTTCCTTTCAAAGTTTGTGTTCTACTGCTCTCTCTCTACTCTTTCTCCTCTTTCCTCYTCACTTTCTCTTCTTTTCGAACCTGAAATCTCCTAGTGTTCAAGACTGATGGCAGTCTTGAACAACTACAGCAGTAACATAAAGAGAACTAGAAAAAAAAAAGAAATAACAGGCCCATTAGCAACAAATAAATAAAAACAAACTACAAGAATAGATACTGGGGCCCATTTGGCCTAGTCTCTTTACAGTATTAGGGAGCTACTCTTCCTGTGTGAGAGGCACTCATTTTATTTTATCCTCTTGATGTATTTGTTGTTGGATGTCACCTTAAGTTTTTTCCTGATTACCCCTATTCTTGTATCTGTAATGTTTCTTCTCCACTGATAAAGAAAATAAAATGACAATGTCGGACCTGATTCGAGTTCCTGTTGCTGCCTTTGTATGGGTTGTGGTTGCCCTGGTGAATTCTTTTCCATTGTAGTTCATATATGCTTATGCATTACAACATTGAGACCCTGGTTTTTCCGAGCTTTTTTGCATAAGCAGCATAGCTCACCTGCTTCTGATTGAACTGGTGTTTTGGGTGAAAATCTATTTGGGATGGAACATATTAGATGATTGAGTTGTCTATGATTGTTACAGGGACACTTTTATTGGACATTGTATGTTCCTGCAAGTTATTTTTTAACGTTTCTTTTTTCTTCTTTTGTTTTCCCCTGCAGGTTGTCTGAGGCACATTAACTACAATGTTAAGGGTGGATGCTTTTATTTGCTTGGTTCAGAAGAAATCCTTTATAAAGCTTTATACCTGCTTGTCAAGCCCCCATGAAGTGGATAATAGGCATATGCTTCTGAGTACTTGGAAACGCAAGCAAAATGGGTTCAAGATTCTCGTGGCTTGTTCTGCTGGTCCTCATCCAACTGCCAATTCTTATCTCTCCACAGGGGTACTTCCTTCTCCAAGGCTTGCATTGATTATTGGAATATTAATTGCTAATACACCATGTTTCCTTAACTATTAACCTATAAGCATCATAATTGTGAGCTGGCTGTTATCCCACAGATTATAAATGTTCTGTAACTTATGCTGTCCATCAAGGCTGTTTTAGCTGAAGATGAGCCTTCTAAAGAAACATAGGGGCAAATTGCATGTAAAATAGATCCATTAATTGGGATTGGGATTTGGGAAATTGTTTTGTCAGAATGAATCTGTATTATTACTTTTCATTCAAGCAGCTTCTGTTTGATTGAAAAATCTACACAATGCATGAGGAAGGTGCCAAGTGTGCACAATCTTAAAATATGGCATAAATTTCCTTGTTATGGTATCCTCAAAAAAATAAATTTGAATGTTTTGTATAAGTGCCAGGTAGAGCAAACTAAACCAAGCCTGATGACTAAATTTTTTATTTTTAATTAATAGTTTGGTGACTGAAATTTGCCTATGAAACTCTATAACATGTTGCTTTATTTTGTTCTAAAATTTGCAATGTTATTAGCCATTAAACTTAGTTACTTTCATGAAAAAGGGGAATGTTTTGGTGGTGGATTTTTTTGTGGTATTTATTGCTCATCTTTGTGTGTGTGTTTTTTTTTTTTTTTTTTTTTTTTTTTTTTTGCAGACAAATACTGAGAAAGAAAGCAGTGCTATTGATTGTGGCCTTGAAGAATTTAGTTGGCCCTCTCCAAATGATGAAATCCCATTTTGGAAGAAGGATTTTCCTTTATGGGATGTTAGCCAAGAAGTTTTTGATGACACAGAGAAAGATCCTGATCTTATGCACATAATTCATGCCACAGCTGAAATGGCACCAATAGCAAAAGTTGGTGGGCTTGGAGATGTTGTAACTGGTCTTGCCCGGGCCTGTTTATTGCGTGGACATAAAGTGGATATAATGCTTCCTTTCTATGAGTGCATTCAGAAGCAGCAAATTAATGGATTGGAGTTAATGACAACATATAATTCCTATCACGATGGACAATGGGTCCCTACTAATGCATATCGTGGGGTAGTTTCGGGTATCCCATTGATATTAATTGAACCATCCAACCATTTCTTCAAGGGTCCTGCTGTATATGGAGGTTGTTACAATGAACTGGAGGCATATCTGTTCTTTAGCCGTGCTTGCCTTGAGTGGATGCAGGTTAAGTTGATTACATCTATCTTCTCTTGACCTCTTTAATTATTACCATAATTTCTCCACAATGTTCAAATACAAGGGAACTTGATTCTGGTTGGAGGTAAGCTGAGAAGTTGTTGACTTAGTCATATGCATGTGCATATCTATAATTCCTAGTTACATAAATATAGAATTTTCAGCTTTCAATAGAAGATTTCAAATCAGAAAATTAATTTAGACAAGAGCTGTATGACAATGGTCAATATAGAGGAGGGAGAGAGGGAGGCTTAAATGAGTTTATTGGGTGTCTTAAAGCACCTTGGTAATTGAGATACTTGGGTCTCCCTTTTAGCAGAAACCCTAAGGCTAGTAGTTTTTGGAACCCAGTGGACAGTGGTAGGTAGGGTAATGGATAACAAAGAAACATGGGAAAGGAACTACACATGATTAGGAGGTAGAATCACATTGATCAAATCAATTTTAGATAAGTTTCTCATCTTTTCATGCCTGTCTTTAGGATTCTAGGGGTGGCTGCTAAGAGGTTAGAGAAGCTAATGAAGGATTTCTTGTGGGAACCTGGGGAGATAAAATGAGATAATCTTGTTTGTTGAGATGTGGCATGTAAGGACTATGAGATAGGGTGGTTTAGGTTTTGGAAATCTGGTGCATAGGAATTTATCCTTTCTTGCTAAATGGCTGGGATGCTAGAGTGGCTAACAGAGTTAATTATGCTTCTCCTTGGAATGCTGTTTCTTCCCTTTCTCCTTTTTAGCATATTCGGTATTTGATGTTACTATGGGTAATATGGTTTTCTTCTAGGAGGACTTATGGTGGGGCGAAAGACCCTTGAAAAACCAGTTTCCATTTGTTTATGCCCTCTCTTTACAAAAATTTAAGCCATTTCTTTGTTAGCTTCCTCCTCCTCTACCTTCAGGTTTATTTGTAAAGGCACAAAAGAAAGAGAAAAAAGGAATCTGGTTGGAAACTTGGATGGACTGTACTTGACTGTGTTTATTTTGATTATTATCTCTTTGTATTTTTTAATGGGTAATAAGAAAGCAATTTATTATTATATATCTGAAAGAATGATTTATAACCAATACAATTTAGAGCATTTTGATAGGCTAGTATACACTACCTACCTCCTTTTACTGATACATTAGGTTCTTCCCCAACCTGCCCCCAAAATAACTCAATTTGTTTCCCCTGTGTAGCCAATAGACCTGTTCATGGGTTGGGTAGCCCGACAGCTCGACCTGCTCCCGGCCCGGTCTTGGACATGCTCTTAGGTCCATGGACCTGAAGTCGGGCCCAAAACACTAAGCCCACTTTTTTTTTTTCATGCCGGCCTTGGGATTTATCATAAAATCCCAGCCCGACATTATTTTATATAATAAAAAATATATAAATATTTATATATATTAAATAATATATTTTATATATATTTAAATATTTTTATTATTAACCCAAAACCCTAACCCAACTTTTCCCTCTTTTGGCCTTTTCTCTCTATTTCGAATCGCTTTTCACACTTTCTTTCTTCAACCTTCAAACTTCCTATTCTTCTCACTCGGTCACACACTTGTTACCCTTCCACCGCCTCCACCCAAACAGTCCAAGTCCACCACACCATTTGTTAAGGGCCCGCAAATAGGATCTTGTCACAGGTCGGTCAATGGGGAAAACCTCTTGTTTTCCCTTGTTCCTCCTTTTTCTTGAGGAACCTATCTTGGTGCCTTAATGGTGATTTGTTAAAGAGATCACCAACTCTCCTCTGCTCTTTCTTGACTGAAAATTTCGATAATTTCATTGAATATCATCTGCTCCTTTAAATAGGAGATTACAAGAAGATAAGAGTCCTACTTTAGGAAGACTTCCTAATAACCTTTATCTATACTACTGCCTAATTAATAGGAACACTGAATTTAGCTAAGATAGAAACAGATAAGATAAGAACACTGAATCTAGCTAACAGATAAGATAAGAACACTGAATCTTGCTAACAGATAAGATAGGATAGGGACACTGTATCTAGCTAACGGATAGGATAGGAACACTGAAAGTTGCGCCCATTACTGCTTCTGTTTGCAGCTGTATTTCTTCCCAATAAAAGCATCCACAACACCATTGGTCTTAAACAAAACTTCAAAAATCTTTTAGACCTAATCAAAACTTCAGAAAATTTGGGAACAATTTAGAAAAAGGTTGCAATTTGGGAACAATAGGTTGGGCTTCAAGCTCGGGCTCGGGCTTCGGGATTTTATGAGGGCCGGGCTTGGGCCCCAATTACAGGTCCGATGGTCGTGCTGGGCTCGGGCTTTATCAAATTCTGTTAATAACTAGTGAAAGCCCGACCCGGCTCGACCCATGAACAGGTCTAGTAGCCAATGCATTGGATAGACTCTTACCACTTCTTGGTGTCCAATTAAATGTGACATTCAGCTCATCTTCCAATAATCTGGCTTCCCTTATCATATTATCTATATTTCCACTTTATTGTTGTTAAAATATAGTGTCTTTGTAGGGTACTTTGTGTTGAGAGACTAGGCCGAATGGGCCCTAGTGTCTATTTTATGTTTAAGTAGTAGGTTATTTATCTTGTATGTTAATGGGCCTGTTAACTTCTTTTTATAAGTTATTTTAAGTTCATGCTTACCCACTTTAGGGCAGATTTGTAATTAACCTAATTAGTGAAGATTAATGAAAAGATTAGTGAGGGGAGAGAGGATTTTATCAAACCCTCTTCTTCTTCTCCATCCCCTTCTATTCTGCTGTTTTCTTCTTCCTTTCTCATTCTTTTCTTACTTTAATCAAGTTTTATATCAGATTTAGAAGTCAGATTTACTTCTTGGTATCAGAGCAGGTTTTCCCCTTCTCTTTTCTTTTTTCGTTTTTCCCATACACCCTTCGATTACGAGAGTGTACGGAAAGATAAGTTCCTGATAGATCAGAGAATATTTTGCCAAGTTGGTACAGGTCAAGGAGAAGATTTGGATGTGGCGCTCAGGACTTGGGAGATGTATTTTGATCCCTAGACTTGTAGGTGGTTTGGAAGCTCTAGTAGGAGCGACTACTTATTCTTTCTTCCTCCCCGACAGCTGGGTGTAGTGAAACCCTAGTTTTCAAGTCTCCAAGTATTGTATTGACCTCAATTAAGTTTATATAGATTGAAAAACTGTTTTTTTTTTTTTTTCTCGTTTGATCAATGGAGAAATCTAGAAGTGTATCGAAGTAGATGCTGGTATCCGGGGTTGGCTTGGTAGATTCCCTTTTGATTGGAGTGACCACAATCAAACTAGATGGCACCAATTATCTAGCCTGGGCACAGTCGGATTCATGTCTGCAGTAGAGGTAAACTAGGATATCTCATAGGCAGTAAGGTGAAACCCGTAAAGACAGACCTGGCATATGAGAAATGGATGTAGGAGAACTACACAGTAATCGGATGGTTGGTTAATTCTATGCAGCCCCATATATCAGCATTATCTCTGGATATCTTCGGCAAAGGAAATTTGGGACAGTGTTATGGAAACATATTCACAGAAGTTGAATGTGGCAAAAGTCTATAAGCTGAAGAGTGATGTGAAAAATCTGAGACAGGGGGAGAAGAGTGTAGCGATCTACTACATGCTGAAATCACTATGGCAAGAAATTAATGTTATGGAGACAGTTGTTTGGGAGAGTACTAATGATGCAGAGACTTTTAGGAAATTGATGGTGTTAGAGTTAGCCAAAGGAGGGGTAGATTAGTCTTTYCCAGCCACTTTAAGTTATGTGCTTATGTGGCAGTTCTAATTGAAGGGATGAGAGATCCATCATATGGATGGCCAAACCCTGCAGGAAGGTTGGGCGAAATTTCAAAAATTTCTCTCTCTCCCATGTGGGAATCGCATTCCCTATTTTAGAAAACTGCATTTTCAAGGATCAATCTTGAACCCAAACCGAACCAGATTTGAAACCAAAAGGTAGGAGAGGGGTATACCTGATACGGAGTAGTAGTAACCCCCAATGAAGGTGTTCACGCCCAAGGAGAACACCAAAGACTGCTCCCACTGAAGATGACACAGCGTAAGGTGGAGCAGAATCATCAGGGTGGTTCTTCAGCAAGAACCGAATTCGATGGAGGGCGAGTGAGCACGACTTCAGATCACCTTTTCTGCCAAAAGGTGATATCAAGAACCCTTTCTTGATCGCCCCTACAGGTGGAGATCGAACTGGTAATGGCGGCAATAGCAGGAGAAGGCAAGAGTAAAAGATGGCGTCAGTCCTACTATTTGTTGTCTTCTCTCTTGAATTAGTAAGACTGAAGGATGATCTGGGGTTCTCCCTTCTCCTCTATTTATAGCCTTAAAGAGAGGTTCTCCTAATCCCATTAGGAGTTTCCTAATCCAAATCTTGTATTTGGATCTGGACTCTCTTTAAGAGATAAGGATAATCCCTTATCTTATCTACAGATAAAGATCAGCCCTCCTAATCTAATTAGGAGTTTCCAGATCTAAATCTCTATTTGGATTTGGACTCTCTGACTGGATTGGGACAATCCCTTATCCTATCTGCTGATCTAAATTCCAGAACCGCCCCTTAATCTAGTTAAGCCAGTTCGAATTGGGCTTTAGGCCCTTTAAGTCTATGTGCTCACTTATCCTCCAAACTGCTGCCCATTTGGATGTCCTTGTATGGCGTGGGACCCAAACATTGATCTACACATCAGCGACATGGGTTCAGCCCAGCCTCTGTTACAAGGCCTGGCCGAATTCACTCTTCTTCTTTTGCTCTTCTCCTAGTAGATGTAGACTTTCTATCATCTGGATCTGACTGGAAATCGGCATCAGTATTACCCCTGGATTTGTAGTGAACTACCATCGAATACCAAACAAAACTCTTTTGTCCTTCGAAGGTATTTTAGTATGTTTTTTACGGCAGTTCAATGCTCTTGTCCTGGGTTTGACTGGAATCTGCTTACCACACTCACTGCTTGAGCGATGTCAGGACGAGTGCACAATATGGCATACATGATGCTCCCTATGGCTGAGGCATAGGGAACGTCCTTCATGCCCTCAATCTCTTCG